CCCCCCCCGGCTCAGTTTAAAGTCTTCCGGATGAAGCTCGCTAGAGCATCTCCAAAGGACCTTTTCCCCATCCTCATAAGGTGTAACCCATCCCTTGCCAGAAGTCCATTGGCAAGAAACCGAGTGCTGTGGTCGAGGAACCCGAAGCGTTCCTTCTGGCACCACACCTTAAGTCAGTCGTTCACCTCGGAGGCCCTCCTGTACCTTCCTGGCCCAAATCCTCAGACATGTAAGATTGACGAGAAGGCCATTTGGGCCTTCAGCTGCCTGAGTTTCTTCCCCAAGGCCTCAAAGTCCCTGGTGGTCCCAACCACACCCTGCCTGGCCACATCGTTTGTGCCCACATGGATCACCAGCGGCTGGTGACCCCCGGAGTGAACAAGACGCTCCACTCTGTCCTTGTCTCCAGGTTGGGGCGGCACACTGCCGCCTCAGTGCCCCTCAGCAGGGAGTCCCCAGCAACAATCACCCACTGCCGTGGCCTCCCGGTGCTGGTGGGCAGCTGTGCCCTGGCCCTCACCTCTCCTGCAGTGGCCCCCTTGCCACCTGACGTCCCAGGCTGGGGGTCCTGCTGGTCCCCTGAGGCCTCATCAGCCCCAGCCTCCCCAAGTGGAGAGAACCTGTTTCCCAGCTCCAGATTGGTGCCAGGGCCACAGCCAAGGGACGCAGACAAGGGACGCAGACAAGGGACGACGCCCTTCCTCTCTGCTGCTCCTGTCCCTCTGCTCCCCTGCCCAGCTCCTGCCTTGCCTTCGCCAGTCCCCTGGCCACTCAGCCCTCTCTCCCAGCCTGTGCCTCTGCTGCTCTGCTGCTCTGCCAAGAGGCCAGAGCCAAAAGGGTGGCAGTGGCTGAGCGCGGTCTTATCAGTCCCTCAGGCCGGTGGCCCCGCCTGTTCGCTTCCTCCCGGCTGCTCTAGCCCCTCTGGCCCCACCCCCTTCCTCTCCGCTGCTCCTGGCCCTCTGCTCCCCCGCCCAGCTCCTACCTTGCCTTCGCCAGTCCGCTGGCCACTCAGCCCTCTCTCCCAGCCTGTGCCTCTGCTGCTCTGCCACCTTGGCTGATGTTGCGCACTCAGGTTTTCTTCATGGAACTATCCACAAATACGCTTCCTCAATAAATTTCTGCCTTATCTTTAAATTCCACAGCTTGGCTTAGCACCTTCCATTGGAAAGTTCCTACCAAGAAACATTAGTATCTCTCTCTTCCTGAATCAGTCCTCTAAATTTATTTTTGCAAAGGCTGTATTGAATCACACTAAATTTACTTGCTCTGTATTGCCTGTTGTATTTTAATATTTTATTGATATTGACTCGATTCACATTTCATGGCTATCATCATTCATGGTTTGCTGTTAGATTAAAATCCTGAGTTATGTAACCCTAACAACCCAGAATTCTGGTTTTGTATGCTATGACAAGAACTTAGGGATGGCGTATTCATGGGTTATTTACAAGGCCATATGTAATGCAGAAAACCATGAGAAGTATGGCAAGTAGCACTTGTGCTTGCTCCTGCTCTACTCTAGCAATCCAGGAATTGGACAACCCACAAATTGCAATGTGTAAACCAGGTCACTATCAGCCAGTGGTAAGGTAACGTGTGTGCCTCTCTAGATGGTCTTGGACTGCAACTCCCACCAGCCAAAACCAGCATAACTGATTGTGGGGTATGATGGGAGCTGTAGGCCAATGCTTGGAAAGTCACACATTCCCTATTCCTAATATAAAAGAACATTGCTATTGGATAACAAATAATGTGATAATTATATATGTTTTGCAATCTACTAATCTTCTTTCTGCCATCAACAATATTATTCCTTTCCCTTCCCCGCTTTTGCCCTAAACAGGACTTAACTATGTTCTAAAGGCAATACATCTGTAGCTTCTGCTGTAAGTTTTGTATATCATATCTGACATTCTGCACTCACAAAAAAATTATGTAATATACATACTGTTTAGCCTTTAGCAGGAAGTATCATGTCCTTTTGCACAAGTTTAAAAATCTGATTTGATTAGCACATCTATCTGCTATTTTAATATATTGTGACAGTTTTGATATATTTTCCTGCATTCTCTAGCAAAACAGGAGCAGACGGAGAAACAAAATGCCTAAGTTATCAGAACTACACTCCTGTGTTTGTGCAATTTCTGGAGCAGCAGTACTCTTAGCAAGTCAGTGGTGAGTCACTGAATATATTCACTGGCATATGTGTTCTTCTACAAGATGCCAAATCAATCATAGAAAACACTTTTAAATAACAGATTTAGCAGGTAAGAGCTAATGCTTTAAATTATGGCTCAAGTTCTGTGCCAAAGGCCTTTCCAGTCTACATTTTTTTCTCATAATAAATTTATCTTAACAATGCTTCAATGCAACAGTTGTACAGTTGACATTATTATTTATTTGACTCACATACTTCCACTAAAGGGATAGCATATATCCCCAGCATTTGAACAGCAATATGCTGTAGTTGGAAAAAAGAAATTCACCTTCCAGCTAGCACAATCACAGCAAATGTCATCTGTCATATGGAATATGGCTGTATAATTCACCTTCCTATAATTTTTTCTGTCTTGGCTCTTTTGCAGTTTGGTTGTTTTATTGTATTTTTAAACAACCTTATGCAAACTATCTTTATGGCCACTTTTAAAGGTTAAAAGGCAGCACAGACATTTACTAAAAGTATGAACTGGAGTGCCTGTCAGGGACAATCAGGAATTAATACCATTCAAACATAACTATGCTACCCTGTCAATTTTCCAATTTAATTTTGATGTAAATTATTAGTTGGATAAGGGCTTCTATGCTGTATCGCACTAGTACAGGATCACACATTGATCAGTTTGCATGATCATGGGGGGAAAATGAGCCATGGTGGTTTACTTTATTTACATATATTTATTAAGCCGCCTATAATTGCAGAGGCCTTCCTAGGCAGCTTTCCTTCCTGAAAGTACCAGTTACAAACTGCCTACTTAACATAATCACCCTCATTGGTTATAACTTGTCATAATGTCCAAACCGGGTGAGGGAGGACAGCTGGAGTGGTTTATAAACCATTTTGAAACCCTAGAACAAGCTGCGGGTTTTAGGGTAGTTTGCAAATCATCCCAGTCAGCCACCCTCACCAGGCAGACATGTCATGACATCCTATGCTTCTCATGGGTAATTATGCTAATTAGGTAGATCACAATTGGTACATGCAGGAAGAGAAAATAAGACAACATGACTGGGTGCAGACCCACCCAATGTAAGATAATATTTAGAGTGACTGATTAGGCCTGTGGCGGATCCTCCCACAACCATGAAGCTCACTGGGTGACCTTGAACTGTCACACTTTCTCAACCTAACCTACCTCGCAGACTTGTTGTGAGGAAATAGGAGTGAAGCACAATAAAGTCCATGTCTCACGCCTTGAGCTCCTTAAAGGAAAGGTGGGATATAACTGTCATACATTGCCTGACTGATCTGAATTCTTTTTCTCCTGTACCTGCAAGCTGGATAAGGACAAGGAATGGAGGAAAACCAGCAGCACAGCTGTTACCTTGCAGCAAGGTGCTCCATTGCCCTCCATGTGCAAGCTGGATACCATGCTATTGGGTATTAGAGGATTGTACTGAGAGAAAATAATATGACTTGGGCAATTTTCAACAGTTCACATTAAAAAAGAACCCTCACCTTGACCAAAAGTTGTTTCACCTTCTAGATTTCAGCTTTTCAGTTAACCTTATAAGCATAAAATGACTTTTATCCATATGGGGGCTTTCTGCTTCCCAAATGAAGTTAGTAAATTGTATTTTGCATCCATGACCTTCATACTATGTTTTCCAAACCAACATTAGCAACATCGAGACATATCAGCAACTTACTAACAAGTGGTGTGAAAATTGTGCACTAAAAGTGAATTTTGCACAGAAGGCTCAAAACTAGGGAATCCTAGTCCCTCAACTTTATGCTTTAAAAAATATAGTATGTTGACTGGTCATCCTAACATACGATTTTCTCAAGTTCCTGGCATTTTTTTCCAGTTATCAGATTAGGATGTTAGATGCAAGCATTTCTCTCTTTATTGATAACTGCCCACAATCCTGCCCTCTTGATACTCAAAAACAGTAACTACCCCCATAGCAATTTCTTCAAGTTCAAAGAAAACACCAAAGTGGCAAAACATCTTTCAAGAGTTTAAAAGCTGCCAAACATTAGTAGGAGGACTAAACAAACAAGCCAAAGAGATGGAAGCTTCTGCACAGATCATAAAACCAGCAACCTCAGGCCCTTTTCTTTAATTGACAGGTAAGGAAAAATATTCAGCCTTCAGTTAGTCCATGTCAATATTAATCTTCCCTAGAGCAGAGATTATATGCCAGCATAATATAATACAATGAGAAAATATGATGATGATAATTAGAACTATAGGATTAAATGTTGATACTAACAGCACAATTTCTCTTAGTCCTAAAGGAGGATAAGGTTAGCGAGGGAGGAGGTCGAAAGCCAGCAGAGGAGGAGGAGGAGGAGGAGGACCGAATGCCACACAAGGCAAGAGAAATAAACAACAACTGGAGTGGGGGGAGGGGGGAGATGAAGCACACAAGGGATAAAGAACGTTTTACGGAAGGGGGGGGTCACATGAAGCTCCTTCTCCTCCTCCTCTCGCCCTTCTTGCTTTCTCAGAGCCTGCGTCCTGCCCGTCCCCCCCCGCCTGCCGCCCGCCCGCCCGCCCGCCCGCGGCCGACTGGTCTCCCCCACTGCCCGCGCACTTCGGGGGTCGCCACGCCGGCGGCCTCGGGCGACGCTCACCTGGACAGGTGCTTCAGAATCTGCTTCTTGATGAGGCCAGCCATACCGGGCCGGGGACAGGACGAGAGTCCTCTAACACCCCAAACGCCCCATCATACCCTGCTTCGGGCGCCGGGGCTCGCGCAGCTCCTGCCGCCTCCCGCCATCGCCAGCCCCGTCTTCTCCCTCAGTGAGCCGGCCGCTAACTCCGCCAGGATCCCGGCCACCACCGCGGCCAAGTCCGGCCAAGCCACCTCGCGCCCCGCCCTCGGAGGAGAGAGGCGGGGCGAACAAGGCGATGTGACAGCGCCGTCTGTTGGCTCATAGCCCGAGCAGCAACCTTCTAGCCCGGTTGTCACCCAAGCAGTGGCCATTTCTGCCTAGTGCAGCTTGAGGAACGTTGGCATTTTAAAAAAAATTAATTAGTCGCCGACTAAAGAGGAGGCTGGATTTTGAAAGGACTCTGTGCAGATCAAGAAGATATATGGGCACCTCCAGTATCCGCTGCAGCCTTTTGAGGACCCATGGGAAGACCACCTCAGTGAAGCTATCTTCTCACAGACAATGTCCCCTGCTGCTTTTGCTTCTCGTCCCTTCTGATCCCCCAACCCACTTGCTTGCTTGACTGGCAGAGACTTGTAGCTAGTGACATTTTCTGATTCTTCTCACTAGCCTTGTCTGAGCCAGAAACCAGAGACAAATGAATAAGTGTTTGCAATGAGAAAGAATGATAGTCCAGGTGGTTCTTCCCCACAAAGGTATGGGCCTTTGGCAGCTGTCCAATGATACCTATACTTGACACCACACATTTGAAGGAGGACATGGACAAACTGGAGCAGGCAGAGAAGTGACCAGAATGGTGAGGGTCTGGAAAGAGACACTATCCAATCTGATTTTTAAAAAAATCCTTAACAAGGCTGTAATAGCTTTACCCTATTGAGCCCCAACTTCACACAATATAAAATCCTCTTTCACCAGTGTAGGGTCCCACTGCTGAATAGCTAAATTCTGCATTGTCCAAATCACACAAAAAACAAAGCCAGCTGTCTTGGGTGTAAAACTTTCAAAATCCATATTAGTTTCATACCTTTATTAGACTAATTCAAAAGTCACAAAAATGTGCAAGTTTTTGAGAACTCTTCATCAGGCAAGATGTTAAAAAAAGGTTGTAGGTCACTCCTATCCCTCCCTGCCTGCATCATGCTATGAGTTCAGAGACACCTTTTTACTTCATGCTGTTAGATGTATTTATGGTGTGAGTCACTGTTTAGCACCTAACTACCATCCATGCAGCTTGAAGTGAACAAAGTAGATGCTGGAAGTCTGAAGACGTGCTACATATGAACAGCAAACACTCTTCATATGCTGGTCTTCATGCAGCCAAATGACACTATACACAAAAAAGAGGAAGGTTTCAGCAAACCTTGAAGTTTGCACAAATATGAGGAAACTTAAGAAAGACTTTAGTGTGTGTGCGCGGGGGGGCACCCAGAAGTCACAGGTCACCATTGTTGGGGAAAAGAAAAAATGTGGGAGATAGGACGATAGGGAGTATGGCTGGCTGGCATGCACCCTGAATAGGTTTATAGTTCAGTACCCTGAAGATTTTGTGGCAGTTCCCATGTGTACTATTCATATGAACCTCTCAAAGAGCTGAACATGAATAAACAGAGTCTCCACACAACAGAAAATTGATTAGTAATGACCATGGATTTGTACACTATTACACAGGATGTCCTTAATTGCAACAGGTAGTAATTACCTTTTCATGTCCTTATGAGGGTTACAGATTATAATTAGTCATCAGAAATTTTATACCTCTAAGTAACAGAGACCAATTACTGAGAAAATTTTTCATCCAGTCCTAACAACTATTACTCACCCCATAAGAAATGTCCTGCTGGCCTAGATCAAAGGCCTATCCTGTCCAGCATCCTCTTTCCCATAGTGGGCAAGGACACTTATCCTTCCTGCTATTGTCTCCAGCTACTAAAGGCAGATGGCATCTGATTCTGGAGCCATCACTAGTAGTTATTGTATTATCCTTAGATGACCAGACAGATATCTAGAAGACTTGTTTATTTTTGACCCATTTTGGTTTCTCTAACTGCAATACCATGTTGTTATAGGCTGTTTATTCATAATATGCTAAAAAGTTTATTGAGATAAACATACAAATGCTGCGGATGCTTTTAAAGACTTCACAGTGTTACAGCTTTTGCCTGGATAGTCTCTTCTTTTGGTTAAAATCATAGCTATTAATCAGAAGGGGGAAATTTCAGTCAGTTGTTTGCACATACATGGTAGGCCAAATAGGTCAAAGCCCCACACTTCAGTCCTATACAACTACACTGCCTTAATTCATTGAGAGAGGGAACTACCAGACCAGGTTCTGCTAATTTTCTTACACAAGTAACTGTCAGTTGCATTTCAAATTAAGCAAGCTTGGTAAGAATCCTTTAGGAAACACTGAAGGTTACATTTCTGACCACACACCAATGATTAGAGAAAGCAAACATGACTAATTTTAAGGCAAATCACATGCTAGTTTGGAGAAGCTATAGGATACCCATTATTCACACTAATATGATGTAAGACTCCACGCTAAAAACAAGTAATCACATGTCTCTAATCAAGGAATCTTCATGCTGTTCAAATTTGCTTACTCAGTAGCCCTGTTAACTTCTTTTGTCCATGGAGACACATGTGTAGTGACAACACAATCTGTTTCAGAGTCAGGAGCTGCTATGCAGTAACAAAACTTCCACCTCAAACCAGATTGCAGTGACCTTTAATTTTTCAAGCAGTCAGCACTCCAGCCAAGTTGCAAGATGGAAGAGTCTCCAGAAATGAATCCTCTTAGGTTGCAGAAACAGGCTACTAATGGTTTAAAAAATGGCTTGATCATTTAACTCCTGCTAACTGTATTATCATTTGCTTATGAGTATTTCCCTTGAAAGGTAGGATATAGATTTAATAAATAAGTGATTGCATGTTATGAAATTTGCTCTTGTGCTGCCATATGGGCTTAACAACGCTGAAGTTCACCATATAAAGTATTTAAACTTTTCCAAAATGATTTTAAAAATTCACATTTCCAATGCATGTTTCATCCTATAGCATAAAACTTTTCTGAATGCATCAGTAGTGGAAATTCAACAGTAAATTAACATATTTATACTGGATTTATAAGGAATATAAAAGATTAACTGTTATTCTATTCACTATAGGACGAATGGTCAATTATGCTTAGGGCTCACTTCCATCAATCAAAAGTACAGCTCCCTGGTAGTATCATTGTTGCTGGAAGACTTATGCTCAGTAGACCTCATTTAATTAAATGAGACTTACTCTTGAATAAGTATGTATGGAATTGTAGCCTTAATCTTGCCTTTTTTTCTGTCCTGGCCACAAACATAGGGGTACATCCAGCAGGATGTAAGAGCACTGCAACTCATGCAATAAGACTTCTCTCCCTAGCACATATCTCCTAAATCTACTTGACTGTCCCTGAACCCTTTAGAGTAGATTTGGGGAACATGTGTGTATGGGGTGGAAAGGAAGAAGGAAGGGGAAACCCATCTTCCATCAATATCTATTCCACAGGTGGTCAGACATAATTGGATACAACTTATAGAAGGAAAAAGGTACCAGAGGCGAGGTAGTGCTGGAAACACTCTGATGGGAGCATTAGAGTGGCTTGGAACAATCAGAAGCTGAGTAATAATGACAAACTAGGGAAAAATGCACTGGGGTGATAGGACAAGCAGCGTGCAACTCTTGAGATGGGAGGGAATAGTAACATGCACCACCAGTAGAGTGAGAAGGAACAGAAGATGTGCAGGGGGTGACTGTGAATGCAATCCTCAGGCTGTGTCCTATTGTGCCAAGTACATGGTATAAAACACACACAGAACTTATGTCTAATAAGTATCAATATTTTATTCTAACAATGCACAATAAAAAGGTATTTGAGAAATGATACAAAGCATTAGTCCAATATTCCTCCTCTCCACCATTTTAAGCTTGTAAACCGAAAACACAACAGGTTTGTTGGTGTCTGTGGCAATGCGTTCCTTCGGGCTCTCTCTGTCATAAAAGGGCATACATAAAATGAAGTTGGAATGGTGGCTCCACTTCCACTTTATCTGTCTGGACGAGCCATTCCTGGTCTCGTTGGCACCATCATGGGTCTTGATGGAGGTCTCATCATTGGTGGCCCTGGCATCATTGGCATATGTCCCCCCATGGGTGGTCTCATTCCTGGAGCTTTAGTAAACAAAGCATACAAAATTAACAATTTCTAGAAAATATATAACTTCCTATCAAAATTTTGATGTTAAACTTCTGTGGAAAAGTTTCTTTATTTTCACTGCAGAAAAAGTAAACCTTGACAGTCAAAAAGTTTCTAAAGAAGCTTTACAGACGTTGTTACGTGGAAAACCTCAGTTTCGCTCTGTTTTGTCATTGCAACATCAACAACTACCCTTCCAGTTACAGAAGGGAGATGGTGCAATTTCAGATACTTCTTCCCTCCATCTCTCCCCACCATTCCCAAGGATAAAAGGTAAAGGTAAAGGTTTCCCCTTGATGTTACGTTCAGTCATGTCTGACTCTAGGGGGCGGTGCTCATCTCCGTTTCCTGGCCGAGGGAGCCAGCATTTGTCCGCAGACAGTCTCCGTGGTCACATGGCCGGCATGACTAAACATTGAAGTGCACAGAACGCTGTTACCTGCCCACCGAAGTGGTACCTTTTTATCTACTTGCATTTGCATGCTTTTGAACTGCAAGGTTGGCAGGAGCTGGGACAGAGCAATGGGAATTCACCCCGTTGTGCAGATTCGAACCGGCGACCTTTCAATCAACCAGCCCAGCAGCACAGTGGTTTAAACCTCTGCGCCACCTGCAGTCCATTTCCCAAGGATACTCCCCTTCAAAAGAATAAATTTTCAGGGGATACCATTTATAAGAATTACTTAACTCAGAGAATCACTAAGAGTCTGGCCTACCCACTGGTCATAGGGTAAGGAACATATCCAATTTCTATCCTGCCTTTTTTCCTGCAAGGAATCTAAGACATCTTGTACCACACCCCTCTTTTCCATTTTATTGTAACAATCCTGTGAAGTAGGTTAGGTCAGTGGCCCGCCCAAAGTTACCCAGTGAGTTTCACAGCTGAGTGAAGACTAGAGCCTGGATCTCCTGAGTCCCAGTCTACCACCTTAAGAATA